TATCCACACACAGCATATATGAAGCAGTACGGCCTCAACGGATCTTATTATAACGAAGAAATGTCGTCCGTTAAAACGTTAGATTTGCTTCCTCGTTATATATACATGTCTTACAGTATACCGGCGCATATGCCATGCATACATACAGTGTGTGTGTTCCGGATTATCCGGTTCCCTCGCCTATCCGCATATTTTTCTGGAAAACGGACGTGTGCGGTTAAGCGAGGTCTGACTGTACAAGTTACGCTATTAGAAGGTAGTTGTAGAATGTCAGTACCGTTGGTCAGTGTCGCGGAATGTTATCGCATGAGCTGATTGTAAAGTAACCGGTGGTGTTAGTGGACATTATAGCGTAAATTGTAGTTTAAATTGTAAATTGTGTGTGTGTGTGTATGGGGGTGTGTGGATGTGTATGTGCGTGTTTGGGTGTATGTGTGCACGTGCGGGTGTGTGGGAGGGTGTGTGTGCGTGTGTGTACATGTGTGTGGGTGTGGGTGTGTGGGTGTGTATGTGTGGGTGTGTGTGTGTATGTACGTGTGTGTGTGTGGGGGGGGGGGGGGGGGGGTGAGCACGTGTGTGTGTGTGTGTATGGGTGTGGGTGTGTGTTGGTATGTGTATTGGTATGTGTGTATGGGTGTGTGTATGTATGTGTGTGCACGTGTGCATGTGTGTGTACATGTGTGTACATGTGTGTACATGTGTGTGTGTGTGTATGGGTGTGCGTGTGTGTGAGTGCGCATGAGTGTGTGTGTGTGTGTGTGTGTGTGTGTGTGTGTGTGTGTGTGTGCGTGCGTGTTTGAGTGTGTGCATGTGTATGAATGTGTGTATGTGGGTGCATTTGTGTATGTGTGTGCGCGTGTGCATGTGTGTGCATGTGTGCGTGTGTGTGTGTGTGTGTGTGTGTGTGTATGGGTGTGCGTGCGTATGGGTGTGCTTGTGTGTGTGTGCGTGCATGTGTGTGTGCGTGCATGTGTGCGTGCATGTGTGTGTGCATGTGTGTGTGTGTGTGTGTGCACGTGTATGAATGTGTGTATGTGGGTGCATGTGTGTGGGTGTGTGCGTATGTGGGTGTGTGGAACCATTTGAAAGGCGGTGCAGCTACACGCAAAGTGAAAGCCTGTGCTAGCCGGACGGCGCCCTTCCTTGGCGCACCCGAAACTGTCCTGATATGACAGGATTCCATTTGATCCAGGGATACATGATAATGTGACCGGTCAATACCGGTTTGCGCTTGGCACGGCGTCCGGCAAACGCAGTTTTTACTGTACGTCGATCTGGCAGCAACCCTGCCTGCTGTACTGTAATTTGAAATAGAGTCAACGTCGCTAATAGCAACGGCGGATATAACGACATTTCGCGAACAACGACAGAATTTCCATGGCCCGAGCAAAGTCCCATCTAACTACTGTACCAGGTATTTTTGGATACGCCCGTCGCAAGAGAAGCATGCAAATCTGCAAATGCACTGGATGTGCACCCACAGATTTTCTCTTATAGCAACGATAGCGAACAAGATCTGATTGAGACAGATCAAGACTTGCGCCAGATAACTGTCTAATCCACACAACTGGCGAAGCCATGTGAATCGACCACCAATGCACACCTGGTCTACACCACACGGAGTACATCGGCATAAAACGGCCAAGACAGTAGTTACCTATGCACACCCTACACTTGCTGGGGTAACCAGTATAGACAGCACGTTGCTTTGATAAAAGCAGACACTAGATGCACTGGTACCTTGAAGTGAAATTGTAGTTACTTTACCAACCAGCCTCGGCTACTGAGTACTGGGAGCCCAGAGCCAACAGACATACCAACAACCTCAGCCATGAAAGCTATTATAGTAACGACACACAGGATTGTGGAGCCGAAACTAGTCCAACTTCCAACTACTTTGGCAAGAAGGTAGCCTTCCGACAGGTTGGACACACATCTAACTGTAATACATATAATGAGACTTCGGGTATAACAACACTTCGCAAACAAGGGCATTTTTCTGATGCCCCGCCAAATGTCGTTATACGCAACGTTGACTGCACTTAAGTCTAATGTGTTAGGTAGAATCTCCCCCCCCCCCCTTCCCCCCCTCCCCTCCCCCCCCCCCTCCCCTCATTTTCTGGAGTGTTCCAACCCTCAATCCCGTTTTCAAGCACAAAGTGTTGTGGACATTCAAAGTTTTAAAAAAAAAGCGGCAGATCAGACTTGAATTCTGGCCCTGTTTGTCACTCTACTTGTGTGCCCCAGCACCTGAAGTACGACGGCATGCTACCCGCTCATGCCCTGAGCATTTACATCAGACCATGTGTTCTAATGTCGAATTTATTTTTTAATTTATGTGTTCTAATAATAATAATGTGCAACTGTAACCTGCCGTCTTGTAAAACACTAGATTTAAAACATTGACTACAAGAGTATTTTCTTTCTGTTACTGTGTGTGTGTGTGTGTGTGTGTGTGTGTATGTGTGTGTGTATGTGTGTGTGTGTCTGTGTGTCTGTGTGTGTGTGAGTGTGTGTGTGTGTGTGTGTGTGTGTGTGTGTGCGTGAGTGTGTGTGTGCGTGAGTGTGTGTGTGCGCACGCGCGTGCGTGTGTGTGTATGTGTTTGTGTGCATGCGTACGTGCGCGCGCGCGTGTGTGTGCACGCGTGTGTGTGTGTGTGCACGCGTGTGTGTACAAGTGTGGTGGATGGTTGTGTTGTGTGCATGCGTATGTGTTTGAACATGCAGGTCGTGTATGGAACCCTTCCCATCCAGGTGCCAGCAGCCACATATCCACGTTCGACTCTCTGGTCGTCGACCACCGAGCGCCGTCGGGCAAGAGCAAGGCAAAGAAGGCCAAGAGCAACAGCCTGGTGTCGCTGAACTCATCCGGCTGTAGTCATGGCAACGGCGATGCGGCACCGAAACGCGGCGCAGCAGACCTCCATCAAGAGGAGTATGACTACATGGTCGTGTCGCATCTGGCAAACCTGCAGCAGCGTTCGGCGACCCGCACGCGCAACATGTCCATCGCAACCAACTGCTCCGACCTGTCGGACGACGAGATGCCCCAGAATGCCTACGGTATCATCGTCCATCACGAGGAACACGTTGCCGTCGACAGCGGCAGTGATCAAGGGCAATGCAATGCCAGTTGCCTTGGTTACAACAAGACGGCCGACTGTGGTAATCGGCAGCAGAACGGAGCGCATCTGAACCTGTATGGGGAAGCCGGCGGACTGAAGGTCCAGACGTCGGAGCTGAGCTGCATCACGAACTGCACTGCCACCGGCGTAGCGGTGGACGACAACCACCACCACTACCACAAGGACGCTAGCGGTAACCATGGCTGCGTCGAAACTGCGGCGACCAGCACCAATACCAAGCCTGGCGTCGACTTTCAGAAGCCGCCCCGCGGAGAGAGTTCGTTTGTCAACAGCTACAAGACCGGGAACCCCTTCCTGGATGGTGCAGGTGGCATGACGGTGGCGGGAATGGCAAACAATCACCACCAAGAGCTGAGCATCTACGCGGGCGTGGACGTCGCACTGGCATCGGTTGCCGTCAAGAACGCTACTCCCCCCGTCCCCGTCACCGTGGACAAACTCCAAGCGTCACCTGGCAGCACGTCGTCTGCGGACTCCAACGTCTACGACACGACGAACAATGTGATGTCGCCGCCGCGTATGTACTCCACCACTACCAGCTCGAGCGGCTGCAGCGACACCCGACTGGGCGGTTGCTTGTCCGCTGGCAGCCTGGCTCGCCTGGACTTGGTAGCGCCCACGGACAAACTGACCAACAACGGCGGCGGTGGCCGAGTGCACTATACCACCGACGCTAGCACTCCCGCCGGGTTGGTTGCCAAGGTAACGACACCCGGTGACCTTGACGACTTGACCCACGGGGAGGTGTACAGTGCCGTTGTAGAGGTTGCGGGCCGCAGCCGCACAGCAGCAGCAGCAGCCACAGGGAACACTGCTGGCATTGACAATACGGCCAACGCCGCTTGCCACAGTGGACCACGACAAGGCTTGCAGGACGTGTATAGCAGCGCTCCGGGCACTCCGGCTAACCGTCGACATGCTGGAACAAGTCGACAGGCCCCTGCTGCTGCCCCGAGGGCACGGTCTTCAAAACGACCACCACAGGCCGGTACCGACTTCATAGCCCAAGCGTTCAGCAAGCACAGCAACAAGAACAATGCAGCAGAGACCCTGTACAGCGCTCCCGACACCCCGGCCACGCGCCGTCACGCCAGGGCCAGTCGCCAGGGGTCGGCGGCGTCGACGAAGCTATCCTCGTCACAGCAATCAATACAGGTGGACGGCAAGCATGTAGCGTACGCTCTCAACAAACACGGTAGCAACCTGCTGAGGAAGATCAGCTTGCCGACGACGGGCGCGTACAAGCGTGTACGTGAACTCGACGACGACATCAATGCACAGGACAACGGCAGGGATATCTACAAGAGAGACGCTTGCGATGGGGATAATTACGCTGGGGTTACCTGTGATGGGGATACCTATGAAGGGGCTGCGCGTGATGGAGATAATTACGAAGGAGCTACTGGCGGTAGTGATATTTACGACGGAGCTACTGGGGATATTTACAATGGAGCTACTTGCGATGAGGATATCTATGACGGAGCTACCTGCGACATTTACGACGGAGCTACTGGGGATATTTACGACGGAGCTACTTGCGACGAGGATATCTATGACGGAGCTACCTGCGACCTGTATCCTGCTGGCTCGGTACGTGTGGCATGTCACTATGACAACCGCGTGTGCGAAGAGCTGGATGAGCTGGATGCGGCGGCGGCTGCAGCCGGCTTCATGTCGCCGCAAGCGTACCCGTCAGCGCTCTCTCCCGCGCTGGTGCTAACACCGCTGGAGGTATCGACACCGAGGAGTGCCGTGACGTCGTTCTGCAACGAGTACGTTCTCGACGATGGAGACTCGCCACAGTTCGCACAGGTGTCCGGTGCCTCTGGCTCGGACGACGAAGCCGATATCTAACACGGCCGCCGACTGAAACCGACCGATTTCCCCCCCGTCTTTTCCGTGTGACAGGTCAGTTTAAACTAAAACATAGCAGTGCTCATTAATCACAGTTGATGATATTGATCTCTGCGCGTCCACGCACTTCTCAATACCGTAACCAACCACTTGGCAGTGTCCATGTTGCCTACGCTCGCAAACTTCTCAATACCGCGGCCACCTCGGCGGAGTCCTTGTTTCCTACGTCAATGTACGTGTGTAACTTCTAAAGGATATAATTATCACTGCACCACACGGCATCGCCCGGGCTGCGCTTTTCGAACAAAGCCACCTTCGACGGACATGCAACTCACATGTATACAAGTAGTTAGCCGCCCGTCACGACTACCCACAGTATGACGCACATGTAACTGCTGTCAAACCCATAACTTCTTTTCGGAGCTCACTACACTACTAGTACATGCCTAGAGTGTTCATCGATCGCTTCTAGAGGATGCTTTCAAGGAATGGCGACGTTTCAAGCTCACATGCATACATGTAGTTAGCCCATCACGACTTTCCAGAGTATGATGATGTCATGATGATGTCATGATGATGTACAATCATGTAGCTATTAATCACATGTAACTATCAAACCCATAACTTCTTTTCAGATGTCACCAGTACATGCTCAACACGGGTCATTCGACGCAAGGATTGGCGACGTTTCAAGCTCACATGTATACATGTAGTTAGCCCATCACGACTTTCCAGAGTATGATGTTCATGTACATGTAACTATCAATCACATAACTTCTTTTCAGAGCTCTCACTGCTACATGCCCAGCGGCGTGTCCATTGATCACTTTTAGAGGATGCTTTCAAAGAATGGCAACATTCGAGCTCTTCTTCATCTTTCTCTTTTGTGAGCTCTGTATCGTACGTTTAGTCGTTTACTCCAACCATGTGCTTGCTTCTTTGCTCGTGCATTGTAAGCCTTGCCATGAACGGCGTGGATGTGTGATACTATTCCGGCTCACGCCTGCAGGACTCTTAGCTACCATCATAATAGCATTGGTAATTAATTATCCTCAGGTCTTGTGCGTATCGAATTTTGCGGCTTTCCAGAACTATAGTCCTCAATTTTCTTGCCCCACATCCCATAAAAAATTATCTTCCCTATACTGATAATTATATTCTTTTTTTGCCACTTTCTTTTTGCAAAAGCACATAGTAGTTACTATGATTCTACTATGTGTGTCGGATACGAAATGGTCTGGCCAGTAATTTATTTATTTATTTATATTTATGTTAACCACCGGTATACCAAGATTTCCACTGGCCAAGAAATCGAGACAAATTCCTCTGGTCTGTGTTTCAGGGGTTTGCGGTCTACTCCTGGTCTTGAGTTCTCTCAGCTTGCAGCTGGTTCATGTACGCGGGGAAACGCATTACGGAGCAAAATGTATTTAAAATGACTGCCGTGAAATTGCATGCCTTCCGTTCTGCACTGCACAGAAGCCGGTACATGTACTTCCTAGAAGTCGCTGCTCATAAACAACATGTCGTCATTAGAGAGGTTACGTTTCACGTAAAATTCTTAGGTCTGTCAACGATTACATCAGAAATTCAAAAAACTCCCGTGAAATTTGACGTGTTTTACCCGAGTTGACTGTCCCGCGCCCATTCGAATTGTCGAATCCGGATCCACCGTATTCTTTTTTTTACCAAAAAATTGCACTCTGTGCATGATATGTGTACCATGCATGGTGTACAAAGGGCGGGAATAAAAGCGACGATGCGGATGTCGTTGCTTTCTCTCATGGAAAGTTGGAAACCCTCAAAAATCACTAAGGGCATGTTCGATTGGTAAGGATCGGGATCGGGATCCAGATCTCAGATCCCTCGGATCCTTCAGATTCAACTGAACACTTTATTTTGGACCTTGACTGTTGCCATGTTGAAAATGGCGCTCACAAGGCACCCAAAAGGGTGAACGTCGTACTCATCGCGTGCGTCGTACAAAAAGTCAACAAACTCTATCTCCATCCACGTGTGCGTACCACAATGTGTACAAAAATGATTTTTACCCGCCATATACGCACAAAGGTCACATTTGGATCCGTTGGATCCGATCAACCCTGCTCCCCGAGGAGGGTTGACCGGATCCAAATCCGAAGGATCCGGATCTGGATTCGACCAATCGAAAGGGTGCGAATCCAGTGGATCCGGTGGATCGGGATCCCGATCCTACCAATCGAACATGCCCTAAAATTCCAGATTCGATCAAGGGCAGCGTTCGATCTGGATCCTGATCCAACCAATCGAACATGCCCTAAGGTTCTACGGTTAGGAGTGTGCGGATTATTCCCAGAATATTTTGGCAATACTATCGTTTTAGAACGGTCTTTCCATCAAACCAGTGAATATTTCTTTTTAAATTGGGAATTTTAGGGGAATTCTATCGATTTTTGCCAGATCCATTTCAACCTTCAGAAGAACTTTTGGGGGGGGGGGGATTCTGTCAATTTTGACCTGCCAGAGAACGAGCACGCATCCATGGACGCACATGTATTGTCAGATCTGTACTATTATAGTATAGATCCTGCATCATCAGTGCAGCAGCAATAGTGCAAATAAGTGATCACGTGCCTGACCGTCCATCTTGCACATTAAATCGCATGCGCAAGACACGATTCGTGCTGGTTTATTGGTTGGATTTGGGAAATTCTGGAGAATTTTTTCAATGTCTTTTTGGAGAATATCCGCGGGTAATAACCAAAAGTATAATATCGGATGCGTACGGGCATAATCCGCGCACCCCTCTATCTTCAGTCCTGGCCAGAGAAATTCGACCTCGTGAAAATAAAATAAAGCCGGGGCCTATGCATATGTGACATTAGCATCACAAACACACTGCGCTGTACAAAAATACTAAATTCGGAACATCACACACTTTTGTGACTTTTCACATGTGCAAACATGTGTGTAGCGGGAATGGTTATGTCTATGTTCAAGACTTTAGAAGTGCATGGGGTTTTGCGCACTTGCTGTGATGATGGCCTGCAGAATGCTCAGCCGGCTTCATGCCGCACGGTGACGCTGCAGCTGCAGGGATTCTGCAGCCACATGTACATGTCCATAATAATAATTATGTAGAAAGGTGGGCTTTCAAGGGGGGGGGGGGGGGTCGGAAGGTATTCAACTAGGGTGGTAAGGTCAGCCATTTGAGACTGAGGTATACTCGGAGGTGGAGAGCCGGGGGGGGTCTCCGCTGAAATTTTTTTGAAAATGTAGATCCCAACTTCAGAGCATTAAGGCTGCGTTCGTTTTTAGCTACCTGGTAGAGTAGAGTAGAGTCACTCTACCAATAGAGGTAGATGGTAGAGGCAAGTGTACGAACGCTGTTCTACCAGATCTAGTGGTTTACACGATGTGTACGTGAAATGTTTCTTTTTTTATGGAGTTGTGTACCAATCCTTGATCTTGCTGGAAATCCCGTAGCTCTACCAACTTCTACCGGATTCTACCAACTTTTTCCCGGTAGAGAAAAGTAGAATCTACCCTTTTGAGTAATTTTTTTTTCAAAAAACGAACACCTCTACCGTAAGAAGTAGTTTCTACCCTAACCTGTAGATCAAAAACGAACGCCCCCTAATTAAAAAAAAATAGTTTTATTCATTGACGGGGTACCTTGGGCAAATAGGGGTACGGTCAAGACGGTGGTGACCATAGCGTAGCACCGCCGTTGGAGGTGATCCGGCAGGAGGGGACGCCCCCCCCCCTCCAGAAAATATTTGAAACTAGGGTGCAAAATCCTACATTCTGGGCACTTTTGGCATTGTTCAAAAAAAAGTGGTCCGGCTAAAGCCAGACCAGCCGGCTGCTATGCCCCTGTGTTGTGACCGTAGCGGGTCCCACGCCCTGTGCAGCTGTTGTTAGGCCTTGGCGGATTCTGCTCGAAAAGGTGGCAGATTCTGCTCGAAAAGCAGTGAAATCGGCAGAACCATACAAACCGTATGGCGGGGAATTCCTCGAATTCTGCTCTATTTCTTTATCCACATACCAACACATGCATGAAACTTTAATACCAGAAAAAGTACCGAATTCTGCCAATTTTTCTGCCGGCATTATCCGCCAAGGCCTAGCTCTTGTGTCTATAGGATGGACTACAGCTGGAGTACTGTGCTGGTTGAATACGGTGGTCCTTTTACTGTACAGCACCATCAATGTTGTGCTACAGAAATTCTGCTGGATTAGGGAGGGTGCTGGATTAGGGAGTGTGCTGGATTAGGGAGTGTGCTGGACTAGGGAGTGTGCTGGATTAGGGAGTGTGCTGGATTAGGGAGTGTGCTGGATTAGGGAGTGTGCTGGATTAGGGAGGGTGCTGGATTAGGGAGTGTGCTGGATTAGGGAGTGTGCTGGATTAGGGAGTGTGCTGGATTAGGGAGGGTGCTGGATTAGGGAGGGTGCTGGATTAGGGAGGGTGCTGGACTAGGGAGTGTGCTGGATTAGGGAGTGTGCTGGATTAGGGAGTGTGCTGGATTAGGGAGTGTGCTGGATTAGGGAGTGTGCTGGATTAGGGAGTGTGCTGGATTAGGGAGTGTGCTGGATTAGGGAGTGTGCTGGATTAGGGAGTGTGCTGGATTAGGGAGGGTGCTGGGTTAGGGAGGGTGCTGGATTAGGGAGGGTGCTGGATTAGGGAGGGTGCTGGATTAGGGAGTGTGCTGGATTAGGGAGTGTGCTGGATTAGGGAGGGTGCTGGATTAGGGAGTGTGCTGGATTAGGGAGTGTGCTGGATTAGGGAGTGTGCTGGATTAGGGAGTGTGCTGGATTAGGGAGGGTGCTGGATTAGGGAGGGTGCTGGATTAGGGAGGGTGCTGGATTAGGGAGTGTGCTGGATTAGGGAGTGTGCTGGATTAGGGAGGGTGCTGGATTAGGGAGTGTGCTGGATTAAGGAGTGTGCTGGATTAGGGAGGGTGCTGGATTAGGGAGGGTGTGCTGGATTAGGGAGGGTGTGCTGGATTAGGGAGGGTGTG